CCCCCCCCCCCCGCCCTGCCCGACCCTCGCCGTCGCCCTACGCCGCCGCAGGCGTCCCTGGCGGCGCGCGACGCCGAGGTCGCCGAGCTGCGCGCGGCGCTGGCGGCGCGCGGCGCGCTGGCTGACGCGCTCGAGGCGGCCCTGAAGAGCCTCAGGCAGCAGGTGCCCGCGGCTGGGCGCCTTGGGGCTGTTGAGGAGTGGCGGGCGGGCGGGGGCGCCGCACGCGGAGCATGCCCATGCACACGCATTCTATGGGGTGTAGCCCAGCAGGACGGCGTCCTGCAGGGGCGAGTGCAGCCCCCAGCAGGGGCCCCCACGTGCCCGCCATGCGTGTTTTATGCACCTTTGCTTTCGCAAGGCGAGGCCAGTGTCAGTCCAACCCATGTCGGCTGCCCGAGGCATGACGTCACCTCATTGATCGATCGCGGCCCGCACAGGTGGACGGCGTGCGCGGCCGCCTCAAGCACCAGGCCTCCGAGCTCGCCGCCTGCCACCGCCGCTCCGAGGCCGCCGCCGCCGCCGGCGAGGCGCTCGCCGCGCGGCTCGCGGCCAGCGATGTGGCGGCCGCGGGCTCCGAGGCGCGCGCCGCCGCGGCCGAGGCGGCGGCGGGGGCCGTGGCGGCGGAGGGGGAGCGGCTGCGCGCCGCGATGGGCGCGGCCGAGGGGGAGCGGCGTGAAGCCGAGGGGCGGCTGCGTGATGCCGTGAGTGCCGCTCAGGCGGCAGCCGAAGAGGCACGGGAGGAGGCGCGCCGCCTGACCGCGCGCCTGGAAGAAGCTGCGGCGAAGCTGGAGGTGGAGCAAGCCAAGACATCCGACGCCGCTGCGTCGGCCCGGGCGGCGGCGGACGAGCTCGCGGCCGAGCGGGCGGCGGGGGAGGCGGCGCGGGGGCGGCACGAGGGGGAGCGGCGGCTTTGGGAGGAGGAGCGCAGGGGCCTGCTGGAGCGCCTGGCGGCCGCAGGTGGGGGTGCAGGCGCTGTGTCGGCCGGCGATGTAGAGGCACGTGCAGGAGTGGCGGATCCCCCAGCGTGTGGCTGCGCCGAGGTTGCGGCGGAGCCCGCGGCGGCGGACGCGGTGCCCAGTTGCGGCGGCGCCGGCGGCGGTGGCGAGGAGTCGGAGCATGCCACGGACGCTGGCGTGGGGCCCTGCGGCAGGGCGCCGCCCGCGGACGCCGCCCACCAGGGCGATCAGGCAATGGTCATGGCTGAACAGCAGCAGCAGCAGCAGCAGCAGCAGCAGCAGCAGCAGCAGCAGCAGCAGCAGCAGCAGCAGCAGCAGCAGCAGCAGCAGCAGCAGCAGCAGCAGCAGCAGCAGCAGCAGCACTGGCCTCAACAGTGTCGCGAGCCCGACACGCCACCCAGACAGCAGCAGCCAGACCCTGGTTCTGAAGCGGTGGTGCCCGCTGCACACATGGTCGCGGTTGACACCACCCACCCAGAGCCTGCGTCGGGGTCGGAGGCTGGCCGCGGCCAGCTGCCGCCGCCTGCCGCCAACAGTGAAATGACACGCAACCTGCTTGCAGCTGATGGCCTTGGGCACGATCACGCAGCCACCGACGGCGACTCCGCCGGTCGCGACTCAGGCGCGGCGGCCGCGCATCCAGAGGGTCCCGGCAAACGGCTTAAGGCGTCGGACGGTGAGAGGCGGCGGACCGCTCTACGGCAGCAGCAACGGCCTTGCCAGTGCACGCATGTCGGGCTGCCGCGGCATGTCACCCACTGGCTGGATGCACTCGGGCCCGCCCCGCACCTTAAGCCTCACCGACCTTATGCCCGCAAACTCCCGCGGCCCAACCCCAGGGTCATGGCGCGCCGCCTCTGCGCCCCCGCTCGTGCCCGCGCCGTGTGCGCCTCCGATGGCGGCGCCATCAAGGGCGGGCCGCGCCGTCTCTGCCTTGCATCTGCTCTCGCCTGATCCCACCCCAAGCCGCGCGGCTTCTGTGCAGCCCATGTCGCATCCGCCTCCGCCGCCGCAGCCACAGCTGCAGCCGCAGCCGCTGTTGCCCGTGCCGCCGCCGCCGCCGCAGCAGCAGCAGCTGCTGCAGCATTTGCATGCGTACACAGGGCCACAGGCAGGTTTCAGGCAATGCCAAGGCACACCAGTAGTCAGGGGCGTCGCGATCATCCCTCCACACGCGCCCAGTGCCATGCCAGGGTTCATGCGCGCGTCGCACGTGGCAGCAGGCACTCTGGTGGGCATTCAGACAGCGCCCCCGCAGCACTTGCCGCCACAGCAGCAGCAGCAGCAGCAGCAGCAGCAGCAGCAGCAGCAGCAGCAGCAGCAGCAGCTGGTGCTGCGGGCGGAGCTGCACGCACCATCGGGAGCGGCGCACAGCGGTGGCGTGGGTGGTGGCGGCGGCGACAGGGGCCCGGAAGCGGCCCCGCGGCTGCCCCAGCAGCAGGTGGCGGGCGGCGAGCGTGCATCTGCTGGCAGGGCAGGCGAGGCGCAGCCTGCTGGGGTGATGGGTGTTGACCTGCATCCAGGGACGCGCCCGGCAGAGGGTGCGGCGCCGCAGCAGCTGTCACCGCCGGAGCCACGCGCCACGACGGCAGGCGGCGGGTGTGCGTCGTTGCCAAAGCCGGGGCGGGAGGACGTCGCGGCGGAGCCTCAGCCGCGGCCAGCAGGGTCCGCCAATGGCAGCGGCGGCGGCGCGCGGCAGCAAAGTCCAGAGGCCAGCGGGCAGCGGCCGGTGCAGGCCGCAGCCGACGCCGCCATTCCTGGGGGGGCAGCGCCTGCTGATGATCTGGGTGGGCAGGGGGCCAACCGCGGCAGCCGCTTCAAGCCGCAGGCGCCGGCCGGCGCGTTTGGGAAGCGGGCGCGCCCTGCAAGCGGCGGCGGCGGCGGGGGCGTGGTGAGCTTGCTATTCACATCTATGGTGGCTGGTGATGAGGACGATGATGAGGACGAAGATGAGGGCGGAGAGGCGTGAGGGACCCCGCAGGGCGCGGGGGCAGGCGGTTCGCCCGGCAGGCCCCCGACTCCGAGGGGAAGCCACGCGTGGGGCCCAGTTGGTTGGCGCAGTGCTTGCGCGCCCATGGTCAGGTGTGGGGCAAACGCGTGCGTGTCGACCATGTAATAGCTGTGTATCACGCGTGGCGCCGTCGGCGTGTTTGATCGTCGTCGCGGCCCTGCCGCTCTGATGGGTGAGGTCATGTGGCCGCCCAGTGGCTGGCGGGTGGTGCACCAGCGAGTGGTGTGTAGGCAAGCTAGTTGCGACCGTTTGTCTCAATTGTATTTGTAGCTTACACTGTCATCAATGAAAGTCCATTAGATTATCCTGGCCCAGCCTAGCTCATTGCAGCCTTGTTTGCAGACAAGATCGAATGCTCCGGCCTTTCCTGGCGCGAGCGCCCTCGCTCTGCCGCTCGTATACATACCAAAACCCCTTCATCATAGGCGCTAGGGTTAAGAGTAGGGCGCGGGCTTCCATGGCGTCGACAGAGTCTTCGATCTCCTTTCTGTGGGTGTCAAAGCCTATCGTTCCCGTGCTGCAACACCCCAATGAGCATTAACCACACATCAAAAATAGAATATTAAGATTGATGATTCACAACGCACCTGCATACTCGGATCATGTCACCAAAACGCGCTCACACGCCGCGAACCGCACGCGCTGCACATGCGCACGCGCTCGCACACACGCCGCCTGCAGCACGCAGCAGCAGGCCGTAGCCGTCGACGAGGAGCTGATGGGGCCGCTGGGGTTCAGCGTGGACCAGCTTATGGAGCTTGCAGGCCTCAGCGTGGCCTCCTCTCTAGCAGCGGAGTACCCTGCTGCCACGCACAGGCACGTAGCGGCTGGGGGGTCCGGGGCCCATGCCAAGCGCCCGCCGCTGCTGGCGCAACCAAATAGATCTGATCGACCCGCTCAGCCGACAGCTGCGTTGAATCAGGCATTTAGAATCGTCCGGTGGTGTGCAGCGGCTGCAACCTGCCCTTGGAAGTCCCGCCAGTCCCGCCCCTGGCAGCAGCTGGGAGCGGGACCCAGCGGTTGCAGGCGCCATCACGCGACGTTTCCTTTGCTGCCCACCGAACCGGCAGGCGCGTAGCGGTGCTCGCGGGCCCCGGTAACAACGGCGGCGACGGCCTGGTGGCGGCGCGCCACCTGTGGCAATTTGGGTACGAGCCCACGGTGAGTCAGGCTGCTGCCGACTGCCGCGCAGGCTGCTGCGAAGGCTGCCGCGGCCTGCGGCGCCGGCCCCCGCGCCGCACACCGCGGCAGGGGTCAGGAGGGGGTTGCCGCGGCCTTCGGCGCCGGCTCCCGCGCCGCACACCGCGGCCCAGCTCAGGGCGGGTCCCGTTTATGAGCATGCAGCTCGCAGCGGGTCCGTTCGCACAGTCACGCGGGCTATGCCGCTAAAGGCTTCAAATGAACACCGGCTGGCGGGCGGCGCACGTTTGCCGCAGCCTGTGTTGCCTGGTCAGGGGCGGTGCAGGCGCCGCGCCGGTGCAGAGCAGGTTGTGTTGGGTGGCGGCACCGGATGGCCTCGTGCATTTCTGGTGTCCTGACTGCGAGCCGGGGAGCCGACCCTGCCCCCGTGGCAGCTCTCCTCACACTGTCTCAACACGTTGCCTGTGTGCTTGCCGCCGCTGCCAGATTTGCTACCCCAAGCCGACAGACAAGCCGCTGTACAACGGCCTCGTGACCCAGGTGGGTGTCGATCATGAACCTTGTTCCTTTCATGAGTTGTGTGGTGCGCTCTTGTTTGGGAGGGCTGCGTGTGTGTGCGTGTGTGAATGTGTGAGAGGGGGCAACAGGGTGCTGACTCCAGTGTGCGGGTTGATTTGGCCCGATGTTGTTCTCAGGAGACTGGATAAGCAACAGGCAGGGGGGGGGGGACAAAAACACGGTGATGTATCAATCTGCCAGCACATGCAACATACGCCTGCGCACGCACGCGCGGGCACACACACTCACGTGCGCGTGCTCACATGCATGTAAGTTGGCACGTGCGCTCGTGCGTGCCCCCCCACGTCCCCTCGAACCACAGTGCAAGTCCCTGGGCATCCCCTTTGTCTCCGCCGACGACCTCACAGGCGGCGCCCCCCTGCAGGAGCGCTTCGACGGTGGGTTTGGGCCCCAGACCGGCCGCGCCCCTTTCCCCCCCCCCCACCC